ACACCGTCGGCGGACAGGGCCGCTTAAGGCAGGCTGCGTCGGAACGGCGCTTTGCCTCGCGCCCTTCCCTCGCTGCCGTGATCCTTGTGTCGGTTAGTGCTCGCGGACATGCCAGAAGTAGGTTGGCTGTTGTCTTTTGGAGGGGGGTGTCTGTGGTGGCCCCTCTCTTCTCTAAACCGTTGTGTGGCGTGTTTCTCTGTACTGGTGCTGGAACTGACATCTCCTTGGGGCACTTCTTGGCTTCCCGGTTGTCCTAACTGTCAACACTGGGAGGTGTCACTGAGTTTTACTTTCTTTCCTTTTCTTGCTTTGGAATAGATGATGGTGGAGCTACTCCAGTGCAGGATGAACGGGATTCAGGATCTGATGCTGAAGATGAAGTAAATGAGCAACACTCTGGATCTGAGAATGGGAGCGTAGGGCATCAGTCAGAGGTATGCTGAAACTTTGCTTTTAGTTATATCAAATTTCTTTTAAGTAAGTTGTTTGTCATTTTGGTAGCCTCTTAAGAGGCTTACTGTGTTGTTTGAATTGTTCCTTAGGGCGCTGTCAAGCAAAACTTTTCTTTTAGAGGGAAGGTTGACAAGTAATCTCTCAGTGAATAAGTAGGATAGTTCCTTTTGCCCTTAATTATCATAATGGTGTTCATTGTTGTATAGAACAGGAGGAGTATTGTGCCAGAATATTATTCTTGGCATTGCTACCGGTAAACTTTTCAAATTTGAAATACTAATACAAGCTTTTAGGAGTCTTCAGGTTTTGCCTTAAAATTTTGCATATTACTATAAAACCACTTGTTATGGAGACATACTTTTCTCCACTAGAGAGTAAATACTCTTTTCTTTATCTCAGATATGACAGAGAATTGCCTCTAAAGCCTATTTTGTGCTCTGTTTTTGTTTTTTCACAAAGCAGTAGGTCTCCATGTGGAAAATACACTAGGGTTCCTATATGACATTTCTGTTTCTTCTCAAGTGCTTTTTACTGTGAGAACCTTACACTGTGGAAAGGGTGAAGTTGCTTTCATCTGGGGTTGTAAATTGGAGGAGAGTTGCTCACATGGAGTTTGAGATTTGTGGATGGAAAAAGGACTGTAATAGAGGTGAAGGTTCCTTTTGGATTTCTGGGACACCTCCTGTGCTATTTTTTTTTTTAACATGACTCGAGATAGAGATCCTCTTCTCCAGTTCCAGACTGTGTGGAAAGAGATTCTCTCACCAAAGATTTCTTGTTAGTGCCTTACCAGAGAGGGATTATTTTGTATGGGCTATGAAGTTCTGTGTTCTCCTAGTAAAGTTATGTTTTGGTGAACTTCTTGATAGTTGTCAAAATTGTAATCAAGCCTATTTTTCCTTCTGCAAATTCTGTTGCATTTTTTGTGAAGTTCAGAATTGGCTGTGATAGTGTTTGCAGTGGCTATGTATTGCTAAGTTGTCTGAATGTATAAAGTGATAGGCTGTAATAGACAGAAATGCTTCAGAAGGTTCACTCTGTTGTGATTTAACTTGCAAATTTTGCTTATTATCATATTATATATTATAATATGTTATATAGAGAGAGATATATAATATATATTATCATAGTATATATATTATTATATAACTACATATTATTTTAAATTTATTGGAGCTCATACTTTCATCAAAGTTAGAAAGTAGATTATGGTTTTGTATAAGTATAAAAAGAAAGTTCTTCCAGTTTATGTGAATTTGTGTGTAAACGAAGTGTGGATGTTGTTTTTTTGCGGGGGAGAGGGGCAGATAAATATATTGATATCTGCAACAGAAGAAACTATTTTGGTGTTAGGCATCTGCTGTTGTGAGCACTAGGAAATGCTTGGACAGAGGAAGAAATGTATTTTTTTCAGGCAAGAGAAATAACAGTGCTGTTGACAAGGATATAGTGCTTTTTAAACTCCTGTTTTGATCTAAATAGCGGATGAGAGCACAAAGAGTTGTATTGCCACTTCGATCTAATTAAACTTGTTCTTTGGTGTAAAAAAGCTTGGTCAGTTGAGTTTTACCTTGTGTTCTGAGATTTTAATTTATCTGCTGTGATACAGTAATTAGAAATCTGGAAGAAAGAAAAAATAGGTGATTTTTTGTTTATATTTTCAGCAAGACTTCCAGATTTAAATAAACAGAAAATATCATTAGTAGTTATCATCGTTGACTAATCCTCTTCAGGTACCAGCAGTTTTTTAACGGTTTTGTTCTCTGATGGCTATTGAATCTTTTTCTGTGGGTAAAATACTTGGTAAGTCCAAATAAAAAAAAAAAAACAAAGAGATCCCAAACCCTAAGCATTTAAGCAAGCCCAACCTTTATGCTTGATTATAGATGCAGCTTTAATGCTTGATTTGATTCAGTTCAAATCATAATCATTTGATTCTTTTAAGTATTTTCTTTTGCTATGAAGTTCTTAGTAGTTTTATATTTTCCTTCATCAAATGCAAAATGCAACTCAGATGATAATGTGCAGTTACTCTCTCTGAAAGGATTAGCTTTCAATGATTTATCACATTATTTATCCTAAAATATCTCTCATCCTCTTATTTTCTTCGTCTTTAGGAATATGTGGGAGGAATGACATTCAAAGGTAATAAAACCTTTGAGACAGCCTAATCAGTTAAGTCTATTTAATTACTATTTCGTCTCTAAATTAGAACTCGGATATAAAGAACTGAAGTTTTAAATTTTTAAACTTTTTTTTCAGGTTCTTAACTTTAAAGAAAAGGGGAATCCTGAGGAATTACTTATGTAGGTCTCAGGTATGTGGGTTTTCTTTTCCACGATTCTTTTCTGACTTTCCTTCCCCCGATCCCACTTTATCTATAAATGTTCTCTTTGATGTCCTTACCAATTCTCTTTTAGACTAATAGAATTAGATAACACATAATTTTAGTACAGTAATGAATACTAAATCATGTTTACAGTGTTTGTTCGAGTCAGGCTCATGTCAGTCTCATTACTTAGATTCTTGCACTTGTAGCAAATCCCAGCTATCTTCATGAGTTTAGTTATGGTTTGACTACAACTGATACCAATACCTTAGATTTTTGAAAACAACATAACTTGTTGATCTGCTTATGACGATTAATGTATGCCTCAGTTTAACATGAGTTAAACTACCTTAACTGACTTTGTCATTCATGAGTTTGTAGTGGATGTGTCAACTGTGTTGAGCTTACTAAATTATCAGTGTATCACATCTTAATAGTGGTGACATGGTGATCCAGTATACTACTTGCTAGCGAAAATTTATGTAGAGAGATAACACTGTAAATCTGATTTTGATGTATTCCTTATTTTATACTGTACTAAAGCCTCATGTTATAGAATTCTGTCAGTTAAAAAAAATAAGGACATCTGATTTTAAAAGTTTATAGATAAAGAGGAGGAAGAAAAGAAAGTAAAGGAATTAGAGAAAAATGCAGTAGCAACTACCTGAGACCTACTTGTTTGCGAGGATGTCTTATTTTTATTTCAAGGATTTAGAAAATTTAAAAAAACCTACAAAATTATGAATATGATTTCTTTGAACACATCTTTTTTAGAGACGAAGTAGTAAGAAATGGTGATGGGAGAGACTATCCTACTCAGTTTAGTCATCCTGCTGTAAAATTGCATCTGCTTTATGTATAAAGTGTATTCCAAAACATCCACGGATTCAGTATTTATGTTCAGAATACCTTTGCATTGATGCTTCTGGACAGGGCATGCCTGTTGTATGAAGGCTTTGAGCAGGTCAGCTGTGTCCCAGCTCTGTTTTAGAAATGTCTCATTCCATTAATGTGCCTTTGAGTCTGAGCTAATTGTCATCTTTGTGTGGGGCTTACTTGCATCGGTGACTGTTTTTTTTTGGCTATCTTTGTCTTGTGCTTTCTTGATTCAGGATTAAAGCAGAGGGATTCATGCCAACCAGTCTTGATAGGGAAACCGTATCTGCTTTTGCCTGTGTTTTCTTTGTGTGTTCTTATGTAGGTGATTACATTAGAGTAAGGTTTGGATGCTGTAATCATTGCTTCCGTTCTGTTTTGCAGAACACTCTATGAACACAGAGTAAGCTAATTAAGATGCATTTCTGCTCCCCTTCTCCAGATCTTCTCTTATAAAGAGCATATTGTCAGCTTGCAATAGCAGATTAGAAATTTAAGATGTTCTAAAGGGCTTTAGTAATACTGCTGTATAATTATAAGCACTTATTACCAAGTATTTTGCACAGATGATCTGTGTAATTTAGTACTATATTCCAAATAGCTAGTTACCTGCAGCAACACTTTTGACCTTAGAAATACTGCGTGGTGCTAGACTGACAGGCTGCAAGATGATGACCCTAACAGCTTAAAAATGAATGAGTTTTCATATATAGTTCTTCAAAAGTCTGGATTCAGACTCAAACTGAACCCTGGTTCCATTCTGTGAAGGTAATGAATAAGAAACATTGAATGTTCCTATTACCCTTATTGGAAAGACCCGCACTGCTGTTGTGACAGGAACAAATAGTAGAAAGAGAGATATTAATGTAGATTATTGAAGCTGCTGTTTTGTAGCTAGCATTAAGTAACATGGAAATAGTAAAACTACGTTTGAAGAGCACGTTTAAAAATTATGGAATCCTGATTTCCCATTGTGCAGTATCTTTCTGTCAGTAATTCTGCAGTCATTCATCAGTTAATATTTTTATGGATTGTTAAGTCAGTGGGGAAAATGTATTGCATCAGCCCAGAACCTTAAAAAGCCATGTTTATTTACTACCTTGTATAATTCTAGAGAGCATAGTTCTTAAATACTTTTAGTTTTATTTAATTTTCTCTCTAAATCATATATTGTAAAGATTAATTGTAGCATTGGCTTAATCTTAGCGGAGATACACCTGAAATATGGTGTATGGTCCTGAACGTGAAAGTAGGATAAATATAGGAAATAAAAAGAAAATAGCTAGTAAGTCTCTCCTCCTAACTAAAAAAAAAAAAAAAAAAAAACTCATTTTGCGAAGATGGTAGTAGAAGAAATCTAGAGCCGAGAAGAAAAAGGCAGTATGTCCCCTGAGGAAAGGGCTCACCCTGGCTGAGAAATAGAGAAGTTGAGGGTGTCGGAAAGAAGTACCTGCTGCAATATTTTTCTCTTTGGTTGAAAGCAGGATTATTGTGACAGTGAATGTCTTACATATGCCGAATTAATGAAAGGAACATTTTAGATAACCTAATGTTTTTCTTTCTCAGGTAAAGACAAAATTGAAAAAAATCTTCAAGTAGAAAATTTGATTTCTTAAGGAAAGATGAAAGTCAGACTTTAGGTTCTATTATCAGTAGTGATGTTGACAGGGATCTTGCAAAGGATCTTTCCAAAAATGGAGTGTGTGTCTCAATGTTTTTGCAGTGAGAAGACTGTATTTCACTTCTAGAGTTTTGAGAAGGTGAGCATGTTTCATGCGTGGAAGAATCTCTCAGATGTCTGGATAGGTACAGGAGGTATCAGCTTAAAGGAGAAAGACATAAAATTTGTAATTTGAAATATGTAGTCATCTCAAACAGTTTTATTAATTGGTAGGCTTTCAGTCTTGACATGTTCTTAAATAAGCACTGTTGGCTAAGAGGGAAAAGGCACAAGCTCCTGAGCTCTGCTGGAATGCCATGCATGTATGGTTTGAGTAAAATGTACTTCATACAAAAAAAATAAAAAAAAGACCACCTTGGGAGGTGTTTTATTTGCCCTGTTTCTGGGGAGTTGGACTAAACCTTCTTGAAAGCCTAACTTAGCTATAAAAAAAAAAAAAAAACCCTCTTAAGTCTCTGGGGAGTCAGGGAGTCAGAACTTTCTTAGAAGTCTTAGTTAGTTGGAGAGTTTTTAAAATTTTATCTTGCTCAATCTTGTATGATTAAACAGTAAAGCAGAGAAGCTTCAACTGATCTTTAGTATTTTTCTTGCTCTAAGTCCCTTGATACAGCTTGTATAGTAATGTCTGTATAGAAAAATTTGCACCCTGTGGTACCTTGTGCAATTAAACTGGGGGGAGGCAGACAAAATGCAGGAATGACTTTTGTTTCATTTTCCTGTGGTTCCTTTGCTTAGTTGCCTGAAATTATTTTTCTCTTCCAGAATGAACACAGTGATGGAGAAGACGATGGGCAAATAGGAGAGCATCATATGACAGACTCTGAAAATGAAGATATTCCAAGGCAAAAAGACAGTGACTCCGATAATGAGGAGCCTCCAAACCACAATTTAAGCGATTCGGACAATGAAGCTGCTCACGGAGGAAAAGACAGTGATTCTGATGCTGAGGACCGTCCAAATCGGCATTTAAGTGACTCTGAAAATGAGGATGCCTTAAATCGAGTGAGTGACTCTGAAAATGGAGAACCTCAAAGGGATCAGAGCAGTGATTTTGAAAATGAATCACAGAAGCAACCGGCCAGCGACTCGGAGAGCGAGGAGCTTCACAAGCAGCCGACCAGCGACTCGGAGAGCGAGGAGCCACGGAAGCAGCCGGCCAGCGATTCCGAGAGCGAGGAGCCACGGAAGCAGCCGGCCAGCGAATCCGAGAGG